CACCTGGACTACACACCTGTTGTTGTTCATGCCATTGAGCTCCACCCTTCTTAGTTAACACTACTGCAGAGGCCAAAGATCAACCAGTGCATCAAATCACATCTCACTCTGTCTCTGTTTATGTGTGTGTGAGCCAAAACAGATCGTTTTCCTTGTGTTGTCTAGTATTTTCTTCATGGATACTTCCTGCATCTGATAATTGCTCATTAGCAAATGCAAATTATGTGAACGTAAACATTTTACAAAATACTGTAACCATTGATGTAACCAAATATGTAATATTTGGTTGGAATTAACAATAAAAGCATTCACACATTGATGGACTACTATTTTGAAAACTGGGATGCTCTTTGAATAAGGCCACAGTTGATCCTCTGTGTACACAAAACCAAAAAACTAGACAACTAAACAACTAGACAAAATTCTAGGGAATGAGATTCAGTAGACAAGAAGCAGTAAAACGCAGTTGGCATCACAAGTTCAAACTCCTCTGTGATTCTTTCTTTTCAGAAGACAGCCGTTGAGTCAGGGAACAGGTTTAACAAAATCTTCTGGTTGAGTCACTTGTTATTTGAACTGAGCACTGATTTAGTACAGGAACAAATCTCGCCTTTTACACTCACAGTCTAAGATAAACAAAGATATCTCGCTTGGGCACAATGGTGCAGAAACAGGTTTTCTGAATGCATTACTGACAACAACATCACTATTTTGGGATATTTTGGGATGTATATTGTGTAAACATATGGGTTTAAACAAAACACATTTTGTTACAAATTTGTGGAGCTGTTTGTAAATACTACTTTAAAATTAAAATTACATTATATTCACAATATTTATATGCAAATTACACTTTATTATTACTATTACACTTGCATGAAATTTATGCACTTTATAGGCTAAGTGTCAGTTTAATAAAAGTAGCACAAGCATAATGCATTAGCATGCTAAAGATTCAAATGCAAATGTTTATGCTGTTCTCTTATGTCGCAGACAGGCGCATTGTGCATCACAGTAAAAACAGATTTACCTTCATGTTTAGCTTCCTCCGTCTGAGCGCGCGCAGGTGAACGGAGCGCGAGACACAGCGCGAGCATCTGCAGCACAGCAGCATTCATCTTCATCATCCTCATCAGAGAATATTCCCAATCTGAAGTCAGTCCGTCAGTCTGAGCAGACAGTTAAATATTCATGGCGAAAGAAGCGTGGAAGAGATGATGCTCCCTTCACTTCGGTTTGTCCAAGTTTGACAGAAATTCCTGACTTAAGTTTTTTCTCTCTCTCTTTTCTTCCCTTTTTAATCCAAAATGTTCAAATATCATATTCAGTGTAGTGCAAACGAAAAAAATACCAAGTAGTCCATTTCCGTCTGTTACGGAAAAGTTTATAGGCTAGACTATAAAATCCTTCAGTAGCTATACGTCAGTTCAAAGCAAACACTTTGATTCAAACTAAAATTGTAATACAATCAAAAGTTTGAAGACAAAAAAAAAGCGACCAGAATACAGACGAGGTTACAAGATTTGTAAATATGAAAACGCTCGAGAGCACGCAGGAATGTTGTCTCGAGGTTTGTTACCTGTTTACGCGTACAGGTGAACGATGCTGAACGCTGATTGGGTCTGATCAAGGTGACGTCGACCGTGTAATTCCAAAGCCCGTGCACTAATTTATTTCAAACATGTAAACAAGTCATAAAGCCTTGATAGCGAACTCTTGGCCATTATGAATTTCCCTCAGTAACCATACAGTCTTCACAGCCTACACTAAAAACACCGACACTCTCACTCACTCACTCTCTCACT